GGATGGCAGGCTGAGCCTCCGGGCCGGCTCGTTGTTCCCGTTTGTAAGCGGCGGCCATTGAGGGCGAAGCGCGGGGCGGGCGCCTCCCGAGCACTTCGTGGCTCAGGGAACCGCCCCACGTGGCCCGAGGTAGCGTCTAACGCTCTCCCCCTCGGCAGACAGGACGTGCGAGGCCCAGAGAGGCGTATTAACTGGCTCGAGGACACGCAGCTAATACATACAGAATGGGAAATAAACCCTGTGCTACCCCAGAGCTTATTACTGCTTTCTTCGGTCACCTTCGTAAGCACGTTTCTTGTTACATCTTAAGTCATTTGATATCGCGTAGCTTCTTCAGTGCGCTAACATTTAACTATTGTTTCATTGCAGGCCGAATTTCCAGAACCTAATTAAGTTTTGGCAGGGATATAATGTTGGTGGCTTTTTTTTTTCTTTTTTTGAAGTAACTGTCGACTGTCCAAAGGAGTGAGGCCTAGGAAAGTCCTGGGATTTTCCACAGTGTCGTTCTGTTCATCACAGAATAATAATAATAATAAGCCGCTTCCTCATTCTTCACCATTTGGGCCAGACTCGCCACCCAGCTCAGCTACTCCGTAGCCTGGTCACCAGCTCAGCCAGAGGCTCGGAAGACAACAAGAAAGGGAGGAAAGCCGGGCTCGGTGGCTCAGCCTGTCATCCCGCGCCTTTGGGAGGCTGAGGTGAGTGGATGGCCCGAGCCCACGGGTTCGAGACCCGCCTGGGCAGCGAGACCTCATCACTACAATAAATCACAAAATCAGCTGGGCGTGGTAGCGCATGGCTGTAATTCTGGCTACTTGGAAGGCTGAGGCGGAAGGATCTCCGGAGCCCAGCGGGTCGAGGCTGCGGTGGCCGGGAGTGGCCGCTGCACTCTGGTCTGGGCAACTGAGTGAGACTCCAACTCAAAAAAAAAAGAAAGAAAGAAAGGGAGGAACTTGGCCTGGCCTTCCAGTCACTCACGCGTTCACCCACTCAGCAGTTCCTGCTCTTCCTTCCTGCCAGAGGCAAAGTGAGCCTGGCCCTTCGGCAGCCCCGCAAGGCTGGGCCCGCGGCAGGATGTGCGCACGCTTGGCGTTCCCTAACTGCCCTACTCACCAGACTGTCTGCAATGACATCGATCTCAGTCTCTTTCCCGTCCCTCATGCCTAGCCCAGCGCCTGACGTTGGAGGTGACCAAAAAGCATTTGATGAATGAGTGCGAAGGCTTCATGGAGGAGGTGGCATTTGCTCTTGCTCTGGGCCTTTGAAGACCCGGAAAGGCCTTGACAGGGAAGAGGGGATGCCCCCTCCAGGACAAAAGGGACAGTCGTCTCATAAAGGCCATCCTGGCTGCTGGGTGGGGGACAGTGGCTCTGGGCGAGATGGGGCTAGGAGGCAGCGAGGAGGCCTGGGAGACAGGACGGTGTCTGGGCCACAGGCTGGCGGTGGGGACAGAAGAGGCCAGCAAGGGACCGGGAAGAACAGACGAGACTCGGGAGTGTGGAGCAGGAGTGGCCGGTGAATCCAGGTCCGTGCTAGGGATGGGGGTGGGGAGGCCTCGGCAGGGAGTTGAGGTCTGCTAGCCAAGTTTTAGGGCAGAAGGACACTCCAGGTGCCCAGGTCAGAGCCGGGTTGGCGTCTCCACCTCCTGGAGCTGAGCCGGGAGGGTGGAGCCATCTTGTGGGGAAGGAGGAAGGGGCCAACTAAGCAGAACCCCCTCCATTTGCGTGCCTGCCTCAGCTTCCCCTAAGGGAAAGAGGGTTGGCCACCGCAGCCTTGTCAGTGCCCAGACCTGGCATGAAGGTGCCCGGAAAGTGGTGCCCTTCCACCAGACCTTCTGATCCCTGCTTGGCAGTACAGGTCACCGGCCGTGCTTTTCTTGTTGTTCTTCAGGTATCACATATCTAAGATACTTAAAGTTCCCTTGGCTTAGGGTCTAGCGCGATGAAATTTTACTCGGGTCACTGCCACCCAGGGGTTGCTGTAGTCCTGTCCCAGCACCCCAGAAAAGTCCCTTTTGAGCCTTTCCCATCCCTGCCTCCACTGACCAGGTAACACTGTTGTGAGTTCTATCACCTAGATTCGTTTTGCCCGCCCTTGGACTTTATATAAATGGAACCAGACAGCATGCACTGGCTTCGTGTCCGGCTTTTTTTAGTCCACATGCTGTATGTGAGGTTAATCCGTGTTACATGTATTGGGCTTTTTAAAAAATATGTAAGACACCATATGACACCGGATGCCACAGTTTGCTTCCTCGTTCCCCTGTTGATGGACATCAAGCTGTTTCCAGTTTGAGCTGTGAATAAATCTACTATGAACATTCTTGCACAAGTCTCTGTGTAGACACAGACCCTCACTCTCCTGGGTGAACACTGAGGAGTGGAAATTGTAGGTCACAGCAGAGGCGCATTTTAGATTTAGCAGATGCTGCCAGTTTTCCAAAGTGGTTGTACCAACTTCCTCTGCTATCCGTGTGCAAGAATTCCAAATGCTCCACACCCTTGCCGACACCTCGCTGCCTCTCTTGTTCTAAACAGGAGCTTCCCCTCCGAGACTCCACTCACCCTTCAGGGGTAGATACTGAGCATGCCTGGTTGGATAAGTGCTTCGATTCCTCGGTCCATGAGCAGCAGAGAGGCGAGGGGCCACCTCCAAGACTGGGTGCGGCTCAGCTAGAAGAGAAACGCACATCTCCTGGACTCGGATGTGACCTGGGTGTCCATCAGATGGCCATGAGCACGAAGCCAACACAAGGACAGCAGCAGGATGAAGTGAACCCGGGTCCGTGATAACACTGCCACTCTGCTGAATGAGTTTTTTTTTAAGCCGATGGATTTAGGCTTTGTTCCGTTTTGTTTTTAACTCGCAACGTAAAGGCTACAGTCCACAAACCCTCCTTCTCCCAAACCCAGCAGCGCCATCTCTGTCCTCCACAGCATCAACCGCATGGGGTACTCTGTCTTGCCACCGTCTCTCCAGGGCCCACACTCACCTGGTCCTCCTCCCACCCCCCTGGCCACGGCCTCTCAGCCTCCTTCCAGGATCCTCCTCTTCTGCCAGCTTTTCTACCTGCCCTCCCTCCCCAGGGTTCTCACCCAGCGCCATGACCTGGGTGCGGGCGGCGCCCAACGCCAGCCTCCCTCGGAACGCCAATCTCACAACGGTGCCGTCGCCCCTCCGCCGGCACGTCGCCCAGGCCTTCGGGCTCAGCTTTCCAGAGCCAAGCCCTCGTCTCCGTCTACCCCTTCCCCGGGTTCTCTCGCCCCTTCGCGTACTCGAGGCTGAGACCTACCTGGTGTCGCCC